TGTGGCGCCCTCTAGAGGATCAGTTGTGTAACTGCAGTGTAACTTACGTTTCCTCCCTCAAAAATAATGACAGTGAAATGATGGAAGTGTTCCTCCTGCTGCTGTCTGCAGGTATTTATGTTTATTAATTATGTTGTTTCTTATTTAGGCTGATTTTCAATCAAATAAACAGAAAAAGACTCAAAATCGTTTCAGACCAACCAGAAGGAGACAAAAAGAGCAAAAAGAGCAAAAACAGATCAAGAAACCAGATCAGAAAAGTACCGAAGACAGGCTGAAAATGGACCAGTGTGGTTCCAGCAGTGACTAAACAGAACCTATAAATGAGCGTCTGTGTGTTTAAAAGCTGGTTCTGGTCACCTGTCCTCTCAGAACCGATCTCACCACAAACATGCGGTTACTTCAGTGTCTGTGTATCTCTGAGAGCAGTCGATGAGTGTCTGTGTTTCTGGGTCAGAACCGGACTCTGTGGAGCTGAAGCTGGTTTACGGCGTTGAAGGAAACTCCACCTTCCTGGAGTGTTCTGCTCGCTCCCACCAGGCCGAGCTCCACTGGACGCTGCAGCAGCCCGACGGCACACAGGTGAGTTCTGGTCCCGTCTCTGAACCTGTCTGTGTGGTTCTGCTGGTTCTGACGGTCCATCTCTCTCCTGCAGCTGCCTCTGAGCGACGACGACCGCCGCCTCCACATGAAGCGAGGTCTGCTGCTGCAGCGCCTGGAGCCGAGCGACGCCGCCGTCTACAGCTGCACTGCCCACGAGCAGAACTACAGCCAGCTGCTGGCCCGGTACCGGGTCCACGTCATCCCCCGCCACGGCCTCCAGCCGGGCCGCCGGCCGGCCGGTCCTCCGCCTCCAGCGGCCCACAGGAACTCGTGGCCGCCTCCGCCGAGGAGCTACAAGGACCTGCAGATGGGCGGCGGGCCGAGCGTGGACGAGTACTGCGAGCAGCTGTGGTTCCGAGAGAAGCGCCGGCAGCAGAAGCTCCGCACGCTGAAGCTGAAGCAGGAGAGCAGGAAGGCCCGGGTGAGGAGGAACAACCCTCCACGGGGGCCCGAGTGATGGGGAGAGACCCTCCAGAACCCCCCTCTGGTGGGCCCAGGACTCAGAGCCCGCAGAGGAACCAGAACCAGACTGTTTGCTTTCTGAGCAAAGAACGATCACAGACGCCTTCCAGACCGACTGATGTTAAACCAGAGAGTAGTTGATCTTCATCCTGGATGTTCTCACGTAGCTGCAGCAGAACTTCTCTAAACGTCTGCTCTCAGGTTCCACACACAGAATCAGCCTGAAGTCTGCTGCTCTAAATGATGATTTATAGTATTTTAACAGCAAAGTTCTACACGACAAAGTAACTAAGTACATTTACTCCAGTACAGTCAGCCACAGTACCCCAGCTTCAGGGTTTTTGTATCACGACTTCTTCTTCTGAATCAGACGCAGCAGAAGCTGAAGAACAGCAGCCAGAACTCTGATGAATTCCTCTGAACTCGTGTGTTTTTCGGTTGTTTTGCGGCTCAGCTTCGGATGTTTGACGTCTTTAATGTGCACATTTACACTCACAGTGAAAAGGGAAGTGATGCGTCTCT